TTAGGACTAGATTTAGATGTCCCATGGTCCTTTAGAAAAGGTTAATGTTAAATTTAGTCTTTTAACTTTATAGAGTTGCACTTCTTGATCTTTCAACAATTTTTTGCACTTTTTTTATCTCTCAACTCTAAGAAATGCATAGCGTTAGTCATTCTATCAATTTGAGTTGTTAAGTTCGCTCATGTCATATTTTTTATATTTTGTTTGACGATATGGATAATACAAGTAGAAAAATATGTTTATTTGGATTAAAACTTTTGTCACGTTGCAAATAAACTTTACCCATTTCATTTAATAAATAATAAAAACTTTAAAATTACATAAATGCCCTTAACTTCATCTTCTTCCCCTGATTTCCTCTTTTCTCCCCTTTATTCATTAACTCTAAACTTCGACAACTTCTCCCCCCCTCTCCTTGTCTTTGGTAGCTTCTCCTTCTCTTTTCTTTTTTTTGGTGCCAACTTCTTGTCCCATCCCCTCCCATCCTTTGTTTGACTTTTTTTTCTAAAATCTGGGTTTGAGCAAGATCTGGGTTTGAGCAAGACCTGGGTTCGAGCAAGATCTAGGTTCAAGCAAAATGAACAAACCTTGTAGATCTAGGTTTAAGCAAAATGAAGAAAACCTCGTAGATCTGGGTTCGAGCAAGATGAACCCAGCTGTTGGGTTCGTGAAAACCCAGCCTTGTTAGGTTTGTCAAAACCCAAACTTGCTGCATTCGTTGAAACCCAGTTGCTAGGTTCGCGCGACCAATGAGGCTGCGTTTCGACGTTGGGTTCATGTTTTTTCATTCTTCTTTCGATTTTCATTTCCAGTTCTTGATAAATTTGGAAGTTGATTTACAATTTGATTGCATTTTTGTTGGAATTGGATTAGAGTTTGATTGATATTTTTTATTGAATGGTTAATTTGATTTGATGAGATCTACTGCCTTGATGAACTCAATGGTTTTAATGAAACTAGTGATTAGGTTCGATGATAGAGAACTCAAATTTTACTCTGAAGCATTCTAGGATTCATAGTTCTTTGTAGGTTTTAGTGCGTTTGATTTGTGATAATATTACGTAGCATAATGTTTTGTCCATATCAGTATCTTTTTAGGTTGTTTTCTCCATGTCATTGACATATCACAAAAAAAATATAAAAAATGTCACATGGTGGAGTTAACGGCTCAAATTGACGAAATGACTAACAGAGTGCATTTTGTATAGTTAAGGGATCAAAAAAGTATAAAAAATTGTTGAGGGATCAAAAATGTGCATTTCATAAATTTGAAGGACTAAATTTAGCATTTAACCTTAAAAAAATTATTTTTGCTAACGTATCATAAGATCAAGTGTTATGTTTATTTTGAATGAAATGAAAATAATTTTTTATTTAGTTACTAAAAAAATAAGGGGAGGGAAGGGGTTGAAAGTCCTTTACCATTGCTTTTAAATTCCTTTAATTCTTTTGACTTATTCAAATGAGAGAATAGAAATAGAAAGAATATCCATTCTTTTGGATTTTTTCAAACTAAATGTACTTCAAAAAAAATTTTGAACATGTACCGGAACACGTTCGACTAGTTTGTTAGTGTTCGCACTAGAACGATGTCGTTTAGATATCCAGTTGGGTAAAAAATTATTTAATATAGTAATTAAAATTTTTCTGTTTCATTTTTGGAACACTTCAAAATTTGCCAAATATATAGAATTCTCTATTCTTGGATATTTTACTTTTTTTTAACACTAAATTTTTTATATTTGAAAGTTATATTAAATTTTAACTAATTTAAAATTAAATACCTCATAAAAATTTTTTTTCAACACTTATCTTTTATTCATAAAACTTAAAATTAAAACATTATTTAAAAAAAATTAAAATTTTTTTATTCAAATTAATAAGTTATTGTATTAGGTATTCGACTGTTTTTTAGTTACTTGAGTTTTTTTTTTTTTAAAACAACAATTACTAAATTAGTTATTGAAAAAAACAAATAAACAAAATTAGTGACTTGAGTCTTGACACGTTACGAAAATTACGATTCGTTTCACATTTGAAGATACGAAGTCCGAATACACAGGCTTGCGGGCGGAAAGGCCTAGCAAGATGAGGGACCCCAGAGCATTTTTTACATCACCAATTCCCACCTAATGCTAATTCTTTTTAGGCCCGGGGTTGTCCTTCTAAGGTCTGCCCCTACTTTCCACTCCCTCCCAGTGTTTGTTCTGGAGTAGTTCTCAACACTTTGGAGGTGTTTTTATTTTATTTTATTTTAATCAATTAAATTAAATTATTAATTAATGAAGTAATTTAATTCATTATAATAAATTTTTTTCGTTTTCTCTTAAACCAAATAATAGTTATTAAAATTTAAAAAATTTTGGAGGAAAGTAAAGATTTTTAACAACGAAAATGTTTATAAGTTATGCAAAAAGCAACGGGGCCATTACTTTTTACAAAATGTGGATATAAGCCTTGCCAAAGTACTAGTTTTGCCATCAAATTCTTCCTTTCCAATTTTCATCAAACTAAATAGGCCCTAAGAGAAGCCTATATCATAGATGAGAGCAGATGACAAAGTTTAGATTTTAGAGAAGAAAAAAAAAAATAAAGGTTTGTGTTATAATTGAGTGTTTATAATTTTATATGCCTAAAATTAAAATAAAAAACTAATTAAAATGTGAATATGATAAAAAAAATTAAATTTGAAAAAAAGTTTCATAAAGACTTGGGCTTGGCAACAAGAGGCCCATACCAAAAGAAGCGGTAATGGGTCTCCTTTTAGTGTCAGTAATAATCGGTATAACTAATAAACCGAAGACTGGTCCTCCATGCGATGGATTGTGGGCCAGCACTCTGTCCCAAAGGTGGGAAAACCATTGAGGGTTTAAAATTGGTTAAAATATCAATTTAGTCCTTTGACTTTCAGATTTTTATTAAAATTATCTCTAAATTTTTATTTTTAAGCTGAAATAGTCATCAAACTTTAGAGATAATACCAATTTAGTCTTGAAACTTTGAAGATAAGTACAAATTTAATCCTTAAGGTTTGATTATAAATACTAATTTAATTTTTTAGCTTTGATTATATATTAATCAATATATAATTAGAAATATACTATGATGATAAAATAAAATGATTTAATTTAGATGTTATTAGTATTTTAAAAAGAATTGATTTTATGATAAAATAACGAGTTATGTGATATTTTTGTTAATGGAATGATTTATTTTAGTACTAAAAATTAAAGTTTAAGAATAATTTTAATAATTCGTAAAATTGAGGAATAAATTTAATAAAATTTAAAAGTTAAAGAACTAATTGATATCTTAACCTTTAAAATTCGACCTCAGCTCCCCATTCTCTTTACCGCAAGAAAAATTTTTGATATAATTTTTGGTTTAATAT